AGAATCTTTAAAATTAAGACTGTTTTCACATTTTGTTTAAAAGGAAAGGGTTTGTTGTCATGTAGATGGCAGGTTGACATGTGTGAGAGAGATGGATATGCTTACAATGTTGGGTTATGTTATGTACGGTTGCTCTTAAATTTTGATGCATAATGTTTATATACATACGGTAATGGTTATTGAGTTTAAAAATTGTTTATTTAAGAACGTAAAGTTAAGTTGACACAATTGTTTTGATATATATGCATGTATGTAGTATGGTAATGGATGTTAAGTTTAAGATTTGTGTTAGAGTTTTAATATTAAATGATAGTTTAAGTAAATTGTGGGATTCACAATTTAAGGGAGCCATGTAACTGACAAGTAGCTATTTTTAGTAGTGTCTTGACCTTAATTGTAGTATCGGTGTTGATAGTATTTTAGTTTTTGCCGGCACGTGTTTGTTCCACAAGTCAGATTCTCGCAACGAGTTTCACGTTGATTCAGATGAAAGTTGTTACCAGTTGTTTCCAGATGAAAGTTGATGTAAGTTGACATAAGTTGATGTTAGACAATAAACAGTACCATTTGTTACCAGTTGATGTTATATATCGTTGACAATTGAATAAAATTGACTGACACCCGCAACACTGCCTAACAGAGCTTTTTTTCCTCTTTAATTAAAACAAAAATACTGACAATAACGTACCATGATGTTCCCCCTCTTCTTCCTTCATAAATTTGTCCTTTTTGTGCTGACTGCGTATGGCGAGATCGCTGGTCGGCATATTTTCTGCTGCAAACTTCTCCAGTAAAGTGAGGCAAGGATAATTTGGCGGCTCTCGAAAGTCCTCTGGATATGTGTCCAACCACATGGACGTTACTGATCTGTAAGTTCTGAAAAAAATCATATCAAAATGTTATGTATTATTTATTCATATAATTTGTTACTCTTTAAAAACAGTTCTATTTCTTCACTGACCAATGAATTTCTGGCACAGGTATATAAAAAACGTTATAAGAGTCAAGTTCAATTTTGATGAAATCCAATCAACAAATTCCATTAGATTTCTGGCACAGGTATATAAAATATGCTGAAAAGTGAAAAAACAGCATAACTTCTACAATAATGGCCCGATCATGCTGATTTTTTAACTTGACCTGCATTTCATGAATATTCATCAGCTCTGTAAATATAAAGCCAAAAAGTAAAACTGCCCTCCACTTATCGTGTTTACAAGGAAAGTGCACAGCGCCGGCATCGGCATCAGCATCGGCACCGGCATCGGCGACGACAGACGCAGGTGATGGCAATATGTACAGACACATCTGTGTCTGTACATAAAAATGTTATAAGAGTCAAGTTCAATTTTGATGAAAACCAATCAACAAATTCCTGTGCACGTGTACATATTCCATAAATATTATATACTGTGTAATAAAGACACAAGAAACCCTACTAATCTACTATCACAATATCTACTTGACCTTTCATTTATTCCAAAATCTAACAAATCTTTCTTCCACTTCATATGTGTTGCTGTTAAAAAGACTTCACTTAGAGTCTTAAATCTGATCAATGTCCAACAAATCAAAGTGCCAAGTAGCGTAAAAAATATCCCAATTTGGCCTGCAATCCATTCCATGTAAGTTGTTATGGGATTTCTCTGCCCCACATCACAAAATGTAAATCAATAGTTGTGGAGACGTGGAGAGTGGTGCCAGATATTGTTTCTAATAATATTTTCCGTTTCTAAATAATGTCAACAGATTTTTTTCAGTTAAATTTACTGGATAATCAATTACTTGCATAAAGCATATGGAAGACAACCATGTGTCCTCATCATGAGGTTTTCCGTATAATAAACTAATCATGTATGACTTCATAATGCATCATTACCTAATATATAGTATACTTGTACTTAAATGTTCAAAATAATTAGCCTCATAAGGATCCTACAGTTGGGAAGCAGCTTTCTTTTTGGGAAGTGATCTAATAGGATTCAAATGAATCAGTGCTTTAATGCTCTGCTGGTCTTGAAAATTTAGGCATCAAGTAAACAATTTATACACAAATGAAAACCCCTCATTTCCTTATCTAGACATGCCTGGTCACTCAATATATCAGACAAGTACATTAGAATTGATCTCTTGCTTGTGAAAACTACAGAGAAGAGAGAAACTACACACCATCAATGTATTCAGTCAAGCCACATAAGTCGAAGAGAACATTCACAAGAGGGTTGATCTGCAGACTACCAGATCCACGGATCAAATATGACCAACCCACTTGTAAGCTTGCCACATCATCCTGGGGGGAGAGGGGACTATTCAATGTCTATTAGGGGATTATGTGACAAGCTTTCAAGTGGGTCGGCCATATTTGATCTGTTAGTATGCGGATCAACTCTGTTGTGAATACAGCCAAAATTTTGCACAAAATAAGACCGAATTCTGTTCTGGTCTGTTCCATAACCTATCTCAGCCCCATAAATTGGACCCCATTCCCAGAGTTAGATCGATCCAACTAGATCGACCTAACTCCCTGGGGGTTCACGCTAAATAGCTGTCAGCCAAGCGGGCACGAAAGTTAATTACCCCCTTACTGCTTGTAGTAGGCAGGACTGACATTTAAGCCGGATTTTCTGACAGTAATCTAGTGAGACTCCCCACGGGGATAGATCGATCTAAAATCTATGGGAATGTGCCCTTAGAGACAAGTTCCTAGGAAGAAATGCAGAGCGAGTAGTCTGTGTGTATAATAATAATATACCAACAAACTGCTTTTATCCTGTTCTCAAATTGTGTGATCAATCTTATACATAATTTCATAATCTCAATCATAAATTTAAATGGATCTGATCATAAAAAGAGTAGTCGGTAAATATGTGCATAACGAGGTGTAACATCTTTAAAGTTGTGATCCAATTATCGAAACATCTTGGAGTCTATGAACAAGATGTTACATGTCTGCAATAGAATGTGCAATTAGACAACCAAATGTCGTTTGCACCATGGTAAAATAGAGGTGACTAATGGAATGTGAAATTAGTATTGATATATGTCATGGGAACAGAGTTGATTTTGAAGAAATTTCCAATGAATCTCTGGTATTCTGTGGCAGTGACTTCACCAAATACTGATAAATAAATAGATAAGTAAAAAATAAAATAAAATGAACTACTTGACATTCATAAGGCATAAATACAATGTCTATTTAAATAGTTTTCATAATCAAAGTTGTAACAAATTCAAAAGGAATACGCCAATTGAATTGCATCACAAGAGGAACAACATCTGTTAGTCGGTACTCTAGGTATTTGTGTAGCCCAGAACTCTCCAAATACTATAATCATGAGACTCTGTATCATGTAAATGAACTTCCTAATTGTTCCATTAAGGAAGGCTACACAGGCCTTCCATTCATACCCTTTTCCTGGGTACCATACCTCTTTTAATACGTAAGTTAAAATGCTCTTACTTGTTCATCAAGGGAAATTAATAGCTTCTGCTTAGCACATGTAGTACTGCCTTTTAGTTGTTTAAAACATATCTGTTACAGCAAGATTTTATAGCTCAAATTTGCCTTTGGATTTACAGTTGGAGTTAAGCTCAATTTCTGGCCAACTGTTGGATAAATTCATACCATATTGTATGCAAATGGATTCAGATATTTCATTATCCTCTCACATTTACTGGTACATTAATATTTGTTGTTGGTATGTTGGTGGGGGAGGGGGAAATTAGAGGTTCAAGGAGGGTGCAAGCTGAGCCTTTAAACTGCACTCATTGGACCAATGACCTCTATCAAGGTCACTGAAACTTAAGATTCCCCTAGTGAGAGTTCACCATCACACAGCCATTGTGGGAATCATTTAAGGGCTTGTTTACATAGAATCCCTGTACTTAAACAATGATGATGACAAAGACAGACAAGGATACCATTTACTTTAAATGAACCATATAAAATAGACAGAGTCAATACTTTTGAAGTGTGTTGACCTGCAGCATTTAATATGATGATTAACCATGACATTGTTTTCATAAGGTGTGTCTTCTTATGAGAAAAAAAGTTCAAACTGATATGAAAAATCTGCCTTCACCTTCAGTCTTCATTTTCAGATGACATGAAACTGTGTATTAAGAAGAAACATGATTCTTAAGGAAGGGCATAAGAACAACAAGTTAAAATTTTTAAGGGTAAATATATGAAATTATTATCAAAAATATTCCCATAAAACAGACTTTGGCGAAGTCTTTCTTCTTTGCCTATAAGAAACTAGGGCCTCATGACCTAAGCTTACTCCCCTTTTCTTTCCCTAAAACAATACTTCAAATAGACTAATTATGATGCACAGGCCTTACTTTTTATTCTGATAAATCACTTACTTTTTTATCTTCTCATGCATTTGGTCATTTTGCTGTGTATTCTGGTCTATGGCTAGATACCTGAGAAACAAATTATAATCACAATAATAATATTGATCATATATTATTTCTGTTGGGATATATATCTAGGAGCGTTTCCATTCTCAATGCAATTTTTGTTGTACAGTAGCTGTTTTTTTTTTATTCTCATCTTAATAAGAGATGAAAAATATACACAAATATAAAAAGATGTTACCAAATGGATGAATACAGCAACTTTAACTGCTGTTCTTCTACAAATCACTTTCTACAAATTTTCTCATTGGGAAATCTAATGAACTAAACCTCTTAAAATTTTATGAATTTTACATTCTTTGACTTATGGCATATAGCCAGGAATGTCTTTGCCCCAACATTTCAAGTTACATCTCATATGAACTCAATATCAAACCTACAGTTAATTGATAATTTCAAGTCTTATGACAAATTGCTGCAATAACAATCCTTGTTAGATACCCTACCTGTCTAATATTAACTGCAGCACCTGTTTAGCACTGGCAAATGTTCGATAAGTTGCAAGGAAGACATTGACGTAAGAAGAGTCCAACTCCCCAGTCTCTGATGACAAACTTTCGACTAAGCGTTCTAAAGTTCCAGCCTTTACAACTCTTATTCTCTGTGTCTGCCACTGGAGATGAGATACTTGGTCACTGTCTGCAGGCTCAAGCTGAAAGTAATATTAATTACAGATGAAATTCAATGAAAATTATGGTCAAATTAGAAAAGAAAAACTGATGAGATATGTAGAGCTGGTCATTTCGATATTAAAAAAATATGATACGATGAAATGCATGTGTGTGTGTGTGTGTGTGTGTGTGTGTGTGTGTGTGTGTGTGTGCGTGCGCGCGCGCACGCGCGCATGTGGGTGGGTGGACATGTTGTGTTCTTTTAACATACATGATAGGCAAGTTCAGATACATTCATGATGGTAAGCTAGCATTTTCCTTTTTTTTTTTTTTTTTTTTTTTTTTTTTTTTTTTTTTTTTTTTTTTTTTTTTTTTTTTTTTTTTTTAGTGAGAGAGAGAGAGAGAGAGAGAAAGAGAGATCTATTTCCTCTTATCCATCTCGGGTTTATTCACAATAATTACAGGACATTATATATACTAGTGTGAAATTGGTCTTTATATCCAGCACTGGTACCCTAAATGGGCAAAACCAGGAGAGGTGTTCAATATATATCCGTCCACCTTCTGGCTCTCTCACACATAATACAAGTCACTTTAGCCGGTAGCCAAAGCAGATCAATTGAATCCTGTATTGATTTCAACACTCTCTGTCATCAACAGGGAATCAAGTAGGAGAGATGATCCACTTTGCTGAAAATTACTATCCCTGAGCGCTAAATTTCTGAGAAATTTTAGTATCACTGTAAAAACCTTGGAGTGAGGTTCTATGTTTTACCCTAGACTTACACTAAGCATTTGAAATGTTTAATTATATTAGTTTATGTATATATACTAAATTATGTCATTTGTAGAAATAAATATTTATATTTATTTCATATCTTCAAATTCTGGTTAGACTCTACAGCTTGAAATTGCAGACATGAGATTTATTTATTCATTTTAAATTATTTATTTACCTCTGGTGTTTTTTTTTTTCAATATCATTCCCTAGCTAAATTAACAGCACTGCCCCATACAATACAAAAGCCCTATCTCTCCATACAACCCATTCTATTAAGTGAAGTAGACATTAATACCGAGAGATAAAAGATAACCCAGAGGGTGTTTCCTGCATAGTAAACACTTACTCATACCTGTGTGAGAGGTACTGGAGTAGTATATTGATACCTGTCGGCTAGGCAACACTAGTATTACATGTACCCTACACATCAGTCTTCATACTCATACCCGATACCTGGGTCTGTTTCACACATAAAATTAAGTCCAAACTGGTCAGAATTTTTAGATCAAACTTTTAGACTACTTTTATACAAAATAAAACAGTTTAAGTTCAAATTAAATAAAACATTATACTCGATTTATAACAAGAAATAGATAGTTTCAGAGCAATACTTTATACAAGTGGGTAAATATGGATTTATTTTTAAATGAAGACGAATAATGTGTTGTCTTAAAGCTTTGACCAAATTTCAGTTTAAATTTCCTTTGTTAAACTAACCCTAGAAAAAACACACAAGGGAATTATACTTTATTCGATCTAATTCAACGTACTCATATACCTGGTAATCCAGAGCTACATGTTTATCCTACCTTTCACTAACAGGGGTTTGTTCACCTCATAGCTCACCCTGTACATTGCTCACTGTAGAGAACAAACTTTCATTTTATTTACTGCTATCTTCTACACTTAATAGATATAACTCACAACAGGCAGTTATTTATTTATTTATTTATTTATTTTTCATTTTCCCTTGTTGGACATGGACCTGTTGTCCTAAATTTGTGTCAAAAGAAAAAATACACCACATTTAGTAAGGAGGGTCTGTCAATGTCACAGATGAAAGCATGAAAGCACTCACCTGAGCAAAAATGCATGAGAAACTTTCGATGCATATTACTCTCTCTAGGCCCAAATTTTTGTTATATAAATCTAAACTTCAAAAAGAAAAGCAGTTTAAACTGGTAAACTGCAATGATTAACTGGTGAATAAAAACTACAGGTGATCACAAACTAATGTACAAATATAAGAGAGAACTGAAGTATAACAAAGAGCACAAAAGGAGGAAGTCATTACCTATCTAGTACAATCAGTGGTACTTATCTATATCAATTGCCTTGGTCATATCACCACAGGTAAGGGCATATAAATATATAAAGCAACACTGGTAATTAAACCAAGGCTGTCTTCACAAAAGAATCAACTCAAACCTAAAGCAGTCTGCTTTGTCTCAGGCAGACAATGTGTGTTACACCTATATACTGTAGACTACTAAGAATAATAATCAACTCAAGGTACTTTGAACACCCTATCTAAAACTATTAAGAAAATTAGAATCTTAAAAGCCTTTATGAGATTGAATATCTGATTATCATTATTAGCTTACCAAGTGAAACTCATTAGTCTATTTTCATTCAAAGCTGTGGACAGATTTTGAAGAAATTTTCAGGATAAGCCCGAAAAAAAAATGCAAAACAAAAAGATGTTGTGAATGATCCACTGGTTAATCAATGATTAATTACTAATTAATTACTTTTCTTGCCAGAGGTCTGTGCTCTTTGAGCTCTTTATAGGTTAAAGCTCTACTTCCAGTTTTATTTGGTCTAGGTATGAACACACACCAGTAGAGAATTCCTTAATGGTGAAGATGGTATGATACCACCCTGGCTGCTCTTCCTAAAGACTGACACTAGCTAATAATTGACTTCTAACTCACTGATAAGGAAAGTTTGTATCTGTTGTAAGCTGTAAATGATGGCTTTCAGAACATTTTTGTCTTGATAAAGGCACGGCAACACCAATAACAATACAAACACTGCAAATTAATACATTATTCATGAAGGGGTGCATGCATCAACATCTATTCAGTCATGGTTCTATGCTGTGTACTTGTTTTACACCCAAATGAACTTTAACTTCACAAAAATGTGGATAAAGATCAATGTGTAATAAAATATGTTATAGTGATGGGAAGAGCTAATTCGAAAAGAATCCTTGCCCTCTTGATTGCCGCTGCAATATATCCTTTTTTCTCAAACTTTACAGAAAAAGAACTTTAACTTAACATACATCTTTTCTACAACCATGTACTGTGGGAAACCAGCTCATCATGTGTGGGTTTTATGCAGAGAATAGTTTTAATGAGAATGAGAACAAATTGCCAATTAATGGTTATGCCGAATCTACTTCTCAACACACATACCTACACACACACACACACACACACACAACACACACACACACGCACATACATACATACACACCTGTGTACCTGTTTGCAATTAAGCACTGACCAGGTGTGCAGATTTTTTCACCTGTATTTATAATCTAACATTTGTTTGTGTAGGAGGTGTCTATCTAGGCTAGCAAGTCTCATTATAAACCAGGCAATTAACAAGGATCTGGCTCTAGAGTGTACACATACAGTCTACAAACATATATTTATGGCAAACTCCCAGTACATGAGAACTTTCTGATACATGATGTAAATTTGGCACTGATGACCTATTCAATTAGGTTAATTAATTGTTATATAATGACACCTTGAGTTTAAAATTTATGAAACTTCATTCCCTGTTATAATTTTTGGCAAAGTCTAAGGCTTCGTTCACATGCAATGTCTATTTTCTAATTTCTATTTTCTATTTGCGCTATCTTATGATCACGGTCTGTGCCCTGAATATCCCGCCGCGTAATTACTGGCAGCGCGAGCCAGTTACTTNCTGTACATAAAAACCTTGAAATTCAAAAGCACGAGTCAATCACATTTTGTGAGCAAGTGGTATGTCAACCAAAATTGAATATAATATTTACCTGTGCTATATCTATCCACTTTGCAATGATCTTAGCTCTCTGTGATGCCTTCATGTCTGGCTGTTTAAGCACTGTTGCTATGACGCGGTAGGAGACTCTGTTAAACTGGTCCACAGTGGCCACCACTGAGGGGGCGTCCAGTTTCTTCTTGTCCTTCCGATTTGACCACACTGACCCCAAGCAGTGGTGGGGCAGGACCTTCTTGAATAATTGCTGGAAAAAGAAACAATTTAATTTTTTGTTGTTGGTGGTGTTCTTTAGTTATTTAACAAAAACTGCACTTAACTGAAAAAGCAGAAAAAATATCATCAAAATATAATTTTATACAACCCTAAAACATATTTCATATATTAAGTTTAACAATTTTCAAAAAAATAAATAAAATAATCAGATAAAAAGACTTCATATTGTATATTTAAATAAAGATAAACATGGCATGATGAAGAATTTGCAATGAACATGATGAAAATTAGCATTCCACCATCCATTTTTAATATTTAGTGAGTATGCATGTGCTTACCGCGTCCATATAAGTAAGCTGCTGGGCAAACATGGCGTTTGGAATTGACATGAAGTCTAGAGGTTTCTGGTACTCTGTGTCTATCATGAAGTCAACTTCATCACAAAGATTGAGGTGGAAGTCAATATTGCCATCTTAAAAAAATAAAAAATGAAAATATGAAACATCCAGATTGAAATTATTAATAAGTATGTAAATGGAGAATATTATCAGAATGAAGTAATTTTTCTTCTTTAATCTGTCAACAGCTTAATATTGAAATATTTTTACCTCCAGTATTTTGATGTTTAGCAAAACATCATCATCAGTGATGAATATTATTAGGTAATACAATCAGCATTAGACCTTCATACAGAAATAAAATTTATTTTCCTGGAAATTTCAAAGCTTTGTATAAATCACCAATACAAACAATATCCAACACTCAGCCTAACTGTCTATAGGTCAGTCAATGAGACCATTCCCAGAGACTATGGTACTAACTTTGGATCGATCTATCATCAAGGGGGTTCTCACTAAATTGCTATTAACTTCAGCGGCTTAGATGACTTGCACGCCCACTGAAGCTGTTAAAGGGTAATTAAGTGTTGTTTAGCGGCTTCAGTAGGCGTGCCGTTAAAGCTAAAAGCAATTTAGTACGAAACCCCTTGGAGATGGGTCAATCCAGTTAGATCGATCTAGGCATGGGAACCCAGTTTATAACATCATTTTGACCACAACTCCACCTAGTGGTCAACCAATAGCACTGAGGAAGACTGCAGCAAAGAGCAGTTGAAAATTTCTGCACATACAAGTATTTTAACGTCTTTTGCCTTGTTTTCTTCTGGATGGAAAAAAATTTATCTCTTAAGACTACATTCTGCCTAACAGAGCTTTTTTTCCTCTTTAATTAAAATAGAGGCACTGACAATAACGTACCATGATGTTCCCCCTCTTCCTCCTTCATAAATTTGTCCTTTTTGTGCTGACTGCGTATGGCGAGATCGCTGGTCGGCATATTTTCTGCTGCAAACTTCTCCAGTAAAGTGAGGCAGGGATAATTTGGTGGCTCTCGAAAGTCCTCTGGATATGTGTCCAACCACATGGACGTTACTGATCTGTAAGTTCTGAAAAAAATAATTTCAAAATGTAATCTATTATTTATTCAAAATAATTTGTTACTCCTTAAAAACAATTCATTTTCTTCACTGACCAATGGATTTCTGGCACAGGTATATAAAAATGTTATAAGAGTCAAGTTCAATTTTGATGAAATCCAATCAACAAATTCCTGTGCACGTGTACATATTACATAAATATTATATATATTGTGTAATAAAGACATAAGAAACCCTACTAATCTATGATCACAATATCTACTTGACCTTTCATTTATTCCAAAATCTAACAAATGTTCCTTCCACTTCATATGTGTTGCTGTTAAAAAGACGTCAGTAAGAGTCTTAAATCTGATCAATGTCCAACAAATCAAAGCACCAAGTAGCGTAAAAAATATCCCAATTTGATCTGCAATCCATTCCATGTAAGTTGTTATGGGATTTCTCTGCCCCACATCACAAAATGTAAATCAATAGTAGTGGAGAAGTGGATAGTGGTGCCAGACATTGTTTCTAATAATACTCTCCGTTTCTAAATAATGTCAACAGATTTTTTTCAGTTAAATTTACTGGATAAATCAATTACTTGCATGAAGCATATGAAAGACAACCATGTGTCCTCATCATGAGGTTTTTTGTATAATAAACTAATTATACATGACTTCATAATTCATCGTCACCTAATATATGGTATACGTCTTGTACTTAAATGTTCAAAATAATTAGCCTCATAAGGATCCTCCAGTTGGGAAGCAGCTTTCTTTTTGGGAAGTGATCTGATAGGATTCAAAAGAATCAGTGCTTTAATGCTCTGCTGGTCTTGAAAATTTAGGCATCAAGTAAACAATTTATACACAAATGAAAACCCCTCATTTCCTTATCTAGACATGCCTGGTCACTCAATATATCAGACAAGTACATTAGAATTGATTTCTTGCTTGTGAAAACTACACCGAAGAGAGAAACTACACACCATCAATGTATTCAGTCAAGCCACATAAGTCTAAGAGAACATTCACAAGAGGGTTGATCTGCAGACTAACAGATCCACAGATCAAGTATGACCAACCCACTTGTAAGCTTGCCACATCATCCTGGGGGGGTCTATTCAATGTCTATTAGGGGATTATGTGACAAGCTTTCAAGTGGGCCAGCTATATTTGAACTGTTACACCCCATTTCCATAGATTAGATCGACCTACTTTAGATCGACCTAACTCCCTGGGGGTTCACGCTAAATAGCTGTCAGCCGGGCGGACACGAAAGTTAATTACCCCCTTACTGCTTGTAGTAGGCGGGACGGACATTTAAGCCGGATTATCTGACAGTAATCTAGTGAGACTCCCCACGGGGATAGATCGATCTAAAATCTATGGGAATTTGCCCTTAGAGACAAGTTCCTAGGAAGAAATGCAGAGCGAGTAGTCAATGTGTATAATAATATACCAACAAACTGCTTTGATCCTGTTCTCAAATTGTGTGATCAATCTTGTACATAATTTCATAATCTCAATCATAAATTTTAATGAATCTGATCATAAAAATATTAGTCGGTAAATATGTGCATAACGAGGTGTAACATCTTTAAAGTTGTGATCCAATTATCGAAACATCTTGGAGTCTATGAACAAGATGTTACATGTCTGCAATAGAATGTGCAATAAGACAACCAAATGTCGTTTGTACCATGGTAAAATAGAGGTGACTGATGGAATGTGAAATTAGTATTGATATATGTCGTGGGAACAGAGTTGATTTTGAAGAAATTTGCAATGAATCTCTGGTATTCTGTGGCAGTGACTTCACCAAATACTGATAAATAAATAGATAAGTAAAAAATAAAATAAAATGAACTACTTGACATTCATAAGGCATAAATACAATGTCTATTTAAATAGTTTTCATAATCAAAGTTGTAACAAATTCAAAAGGAATACGCCAATTGAATTGCATCACAAGAGGAACAACATCTGTTAGTCGGTACTCTAGGTATTTGTGTAGCCCAGAACTCTCCAAATACTATAATCATGAGACTCTGTATCATGTAAATGGACTTCCTAATTGTTCCATTAAAGAAGGCTACACAGGCTTTCCATTCATACCCTTTTCCTGGGTACCATACCTCTTTTAATACGTAAGTTAAAATGCTCTTACTTGTTCATCAAGGGAAATTAATAGCTTCTGCTCAGCACATGTAGCACTGCCTTTTAGTTGTTTAAGACATATCTGTTACAGCAAGATTTTATAGCTCAAATTTGTCTTTGGATTTACAGTTGGAGTTAAGCTCAATTTCTGGCCGACTGACAGATAAATTCATACCATATTGTATACAAATGGATTCAGATATTTCATTATCCTGTCACATTTACTAGTACATTAATATTTGTTGTTGGTATGTTGGTGGGGGAGGGGGAAATTAGGGGTTCAAGGAAGGCGCAAACTGAGCCTTTAAACTGCACTCATTGGACCAATGACCTCTATCAAGGTCACTGATTGAACTTAAGATTCCCCTAGTGAGAGTTCACCATCACACAGCCATTGTGGGAATCATTAAAGGGATTGTTTACATAGAAATCCTGCACTTAAACAATGATGATGACAAAGACAGACAAGGATACCATTTACCTTAAATGATCCATATAAAATAGACAGAGTCAATACTTTTGAAGTGTGTTGACCTGTGGCATTTAATATGATGATTAACCGTGACATTGTTTTCATAAGGTGTGTCTTCTTATGAGGAAAAAGTTCAAACTGATATAAAAAATCTGCCTTCACCTTCAGTCTTCATTTTGAGATGACATGAAACTGTGTATTAAGAAGAAATACGAGTCTTAAGGAAGGGCCTAAGAATTACAAGTCAAAAACTTTAAGGGTAAATATATGAAATTATTATCCATAATATTCCAATAAAACAGACGTAGGCGAAGTCTTTCTTCTTTGCCTATAAGAAAATAGGGTCCCATCACCTAAGCTTACTCCCCTGTCTTTTACCTAAAACAATACTTCAAATAGACTAATTATGATGCACAGACCTTACTTTTTATTCTGATAAATCACTTACTTTTTTATCTTCTCATGCATTTGGTCATTTTGCTGTGTATTCTGGTCTATGGCTAGATACCTGAGAAACAAATTATAATCACAATAATAATATTGATCATATATTATTTCTGTTGGGATATATATCTAGGAGCGTTTCCATTCTCAATGCAATTTTGTTGTACAGTAGCTTTTTTTTTCTCATCTTAATAAGAGATGAAAAATATACACAAATATAAAAAGATGTTACCATGGATGAATGCAGCAACTTTAACTGCTGTTCTTCTACAAATCACTTTCTACAAATTTTCTCATTGGGAAATCTAATGAACTAAACTCTTAAAATTTTATGAATTTAACATTCTTTGACCTATGGCATATAGCCAGGAATGTCTTTGCCCCAACATTTCAAGTTACATCTTATACAAACTCAATATCAAACCTACAGTTAATTGATAATTTCAAGTCTTATGACAAATTGCTGCAATAACAATCCTTGTTAGATACCCTACCTGTCTAATATTAACTGCAGCACCTGTTTAGCACTGGCAAAAGTTCTATAAGTTGCAAGGAAGACATTGACGTAAGATGAGTCCAACTCCCCGGTCTCTGATGACAAACTTTCGACTAAGCGTTCTAAAGTTCCAGCCTTTACAACTCTTATTCTCTGTGTCTGCCACTGGAGATGAGAAACTTGGTCACTGTCTGCAGGCTCAAGCTGAAAGTAATATTAATTACAGATGAAATTCAATGAAAATTATGGTCAAATTAGAAAAGAAAAACTGATAAGATATGTACAGCTGGTCATTTCCATTTTAAATAAAATTGATACGTGTGTTGATGCATGTGTGTGTGTGTGTGTGTGTGTGCATGTGTGGACATGTTGTGTTATTTTAACATACATGATAGGCAAGTTAAGATACATTCATGATGGTAAGCTAGCATTTTACTTTTTTTTTTTTGAGAGAGAGAGAAAGAGAGAGAGTGAGAGAGAGAGATTTATTTCCTTTTATCCATCTCAAGTTTAATCACAATTATTATAGGACATTAAATATACTAGTGTGAACTTGGTCTTTATATCCAGCACTGGTACCCTAAATGGGCAAGACCAGGAGAGGTGTTCAATATATATCCCTCCACCTTCTGGCTCTCTCACACATAATACAAGTCACTTTAGCCAGTAGCCAAAGCAGATCAATTGAATCCTGTATTGATTTCAACACTTTCTGTCATCAACAGGGAATCAAGTAGGAGAGATGATCCACTTTGCTGAAAATTACTATCCCTGAGCGCTAAATTTCTGAGAAATTTTAGTATCACTGTAAAAACCTTGGAGTGAGGTTCTATGTTTTACCCTAGACTTACACTAAGCATTTGAAATGTTTAATTATATTAGTTTAAATGTATATATACTAATTTATGTCATTTGTAGAAATAAATATTTATATTTATTTCATATCTTCAAATTCTGGTTAGACTCTACAGCTTGAAATTGCAGACATGAGATTTATTTATTCATTTTAAATTATTTATTTTAAATTATTTATTTACCTCTGGTGTTTTTTTTTTTTTTTTTTCAATATCATTCCCTAGCTAAATTAACAGCACTGCCCCATGCAATACAAAAGCCCTATCTCTCCATACAACCCATTCTATTAAGTGAAGTAGACATTAATACCGAGAGATAAAAGATAACCCAGAGGGTGTTTCCTGCATAGTAAACACTTACTCATACCTGTGTGAGAGGTACTGGAGTAGTATATTGATACCTGTCGGCTAGGCAACACTAGTATTACATGTACCCTATACATCAGTCTTCATACTCATACCCGATACCTGGGTCTGTTTCACACATAAAATTAAGTCCAAAATTGGTCAGAATTTTTAGGCCAAACTTTTAGACTACTAGTACTTTGATACAAAATAAAACAGTTTAAGTTCAAGTTAAATAAAACATTATACTCGATTTATAATAAGAAATAGATAGTTTCAGACCAATACTTTATACAAGTGGGTAAATATGGATTTATTTTTAAATGAAGACGACAACTGTGTTGTCTTAAAGCTTTGACCCAATTTCAAATTAAATTTCCTTTGTTTAACTAGCAGCTAGAAAAAACACACAAGGGAATTATACTTTATTCAATCTTATTCAATGTACCCATATACCTGGTAATCCAGAGCTACATATTTATTCTACCTTTCACTAACAGGGGTTTGTTCAGCTATGATCATAGCTCACCCTGTACGTTGCTCACTGTAGAGAACATAACTTTCATTTTATTTTCTGCTATCTTCTACACTTAATAGATATATAACTCACAGCAGGCAGTTGTTATTATTGTTTATTTATTTATTTTTTTTTCATTTTCCCTTGTTGAGCATGGACCTGTTGTCCTAAAATTGTGTCAAAAGAAAAAATACGCCACATGTGGTAAGAAGGGCCTGTCAATGTCACAGATAAAAGCATGAAAGCACTCACCTGAGCAAAAATGCATGAGAAACTTTCAATGCATACCAGTACTACACTAAGCCCAGAGCTAATATTAAAGTAACCTTTTTTGCTGACTTTTTGTTATATAAATCTAAACTTAAAAAAGAAAAGCAGTTTAAATTTGGTAAACTGCAATGATTAGCTGGTGAATAAAAACTACAGGTGATCACAAACTAATGTACAAATATAAGAGAGAACTGAAGTATAACAAAGAGCACAAAAGGAGGAAGTCATTACCTATCTAGTACAATCAGTGGTACTTATCTATATCAATTGCCTTGGTCATATCACCACAGGTAAGGGCATATAAATATATAAAGCAACACTGGTAATTAAACCAAGGCTGTCTTCACAAAAGAATCAACTCAAACCTAAAGCAGTCTGCTTTGTCTCAGGCAGACAATGTGCGTTACACCTATATACTGTAGACTACTAAGAATAATAATCAACTCAAGGTACTTTGAACACCCTATCTAAAACTATTAAGAAAATTAGAATCTTAAAAGCCTTTATGAGATTGAATATCTGATTATCATTATTAGCTTACCAAGTGAAACTCATTAGTCTATTTTCATTCAAAGCTGTGGACAGATTTTGAAGAAATTTTCAGGATAAGCCCGAAAAAAAAAATGCAAAACAAAAAGATGTTGTGAATGATCCACTGGTTAATCAATGATTAATTACTAATTAATTACTTTTCTTGCCAGAGGTCTGTGCTCTTTGAGCTCTTTATAGGTTAAAGCTCTACTTCCAGTTTTATTTGGTCTAGGTATGAACACACACCAGTAGAGAATTCCTTAATAGTGAAGATGGTATGATACCACCCTGGCTGCTCTTCCTAAAGACTGACTTCTAACTCAGTGATAAGGAAAGTTTGTATCTGTTGTAAGCTGTAAATGATGGCTTTCAGAAAATTTTTGTTTTGATAAAGGCACAGTAACACCAATAACAATACAAACACTACGAATTAATGCATTATTCATACTGGGGTGCATCAACATCTATCCAGTCATGGTTCTATGCTGTGTACTTGTTTTACACCCAAATGACCTTTAACTTCACAAAAATGTAGATAAAGATCAATGCGTGATAAAATATGTTATAGTGATGGGAATAGCTAATACGGAAAGAATCCTTGCCCTCTTGATTGCCATTGCAATATATCCTTTTTTCACAAACTTTACAGAAAAAGAACTTTTACTTAACATATATCTTTTCTACAACCATGTACTATAGGAAACTTTCTTAATGTCTGACCAGCTCAACATGTGTGGGTTTTATGCAGAGAATAGTGTTAATGAGAATGAGAACAAATTGCCAATCAATGCCAAATCTACTTCTCAACACACATACCTACACACACACACACAAACAACACACACATACGCACATACACACACATACATACACATCTGTGTACCTGTTTGCAATTAAGCACTGACCAGGTGTGCAGATTTTTTCACCTGTATTTATAATCTAACATTTGTTTGTGTAGGAGGTCTCTTCCTGTATAGTAGGCTAGTGAGTCTTATTATAAACCAGGCTATTAACAAGGATCTGGCTAGTGTATACATACAACAGACACATACTAGTATATTTATGGCAAACTCCCAGTACATGAGAACTTTCTGATACATGATGTAAATTTGGCACTGATGACCTATTCAATTAGGTTAATTAATTGATATATAATGACCCCTTGAGTTTAAAATTTATGAAACTTCATTCCCTTTTATAATTTTTGGCAAAGTGTAAGCTGGCATGCATGTAGTGCCAAAGGATGTGTTATGGGGTAGCAGAGGGTGTATGTACATGGTGGGGGGGGGGGGGGGGGGGGGCCACATGTGGGTGACTGTATGTCTCCATCAGTCNAATAGAATTTAGAAAATGGACATTGCATGTGACCGAAGCCTTAGCTGGCATGCATGCAGTGCCAAAGGATGTGTTATGGGGTAGCAGAGGGTGTATGTACATGGTGGGGGCGGGGGGCACATGTGTACTGTATGTCTCCATCAGTCTTTCTTATTCTCTCTCTCTCTCTCTCTCTCTCTCTCTCTCTCTCTCTCTGTGTGTGTGTGTGTGTGTGTGAGTGAGTGTGAGTGGACACTGTGGAAAGAGGTAAGTGTATCACAAGCACACCATTGGTGAAAGTGGTAAAAACTGAAAATCCTGAAAACAGCTTGCAATTTTTCATCACATTTGGACCACATGAAAAAAAATGATCAGAATTGAGACTGAAGATCCTGAAATCAGGCATAATCCCGAAAACTTTCACCCATGTATCATGTTTTATGGGATTCAGGGAATGTCTGTATGTTGTAGAGAGAGTAAAAACAAGCACAAAAACATTCCAAAACAAGGCAATAAACCCAACCATGCTCTGACTCATCATCCCCACAGGGTTTTACTCCCTCCATGATTGATCTCAAATCTAAAATACTTCATCACCTTTTTTATCCTGTCTAATAATTCATTAATCAATGCAGAGGGTCTTATATCTAAAATGAAAAAAAAATTGCACACATCTGCCAGTTCCTGCTCCCTGCATGAAACGGCATTAGCCTGAGGGACTTTTTTACTCGATGGCTGCTTAACTAACCGGATGTAACATACTCTGACTATAAACTATGAGTTATCAAGTAATGAAGTATACACTAATGTTGCCTTTTTTATTTTCCCTAGTTTATACTGGAGTTATTGGTGCTGAAATCTGGCTTAAGTATTTTTTATGTTTTGTGTCAATATTCTTTTTTATTTTTTTATTGATTTTTTTTTTTTATTTAGACAGACTTAACAGTAGTTCAAAGCCAAATGTTTTCAACATATGTGTATAGTCTCATTTCAAATTTCTTTTTCCTCACATATTTTTCACTTGAGTCAACATGACCGGAGTTCTATAATGACAGCCAATGGTGGCAATCAGAGGTTATGTCAGAAAAAAAAAAAAACTTTCAATAACATACATCTAACAGACATGAGCCTAGGTTTAAAAAAATAACTCTGAACATTTGTCATGGGACCCTACACCTAACCTTGATGAATCTCAGGAACCATCAGAATTGAATTTAATAAAGCGGAATTCTGCTTTTCCACAGAAAAAGCTCATGTCTGATCAAAGAACCTGGACAGCTTGACCCAAAAAAAAGGTATATATACATCTACAGCTGTGTGCATACAGTACCCATTCAAAATATACCTGTGTATACATTCAAAATATACCCACCTCAGATAATACAGTGTACTTGACTTTTTTCAGGTATATTCCATAAACCGCACCGTCAACTTTTTCTTCCTTCCAGAAGCGAATGCCATCATCCTGGAACAACAAGGATAGACCTAAGTTTATCAATTATTTAACATTATACTAAAAGTAACTTCATTTATATTTTTGCACCTTACTATACAGTGTACACCCACCTTAAACATATATTTGAGAAGGATAATAATGGATGATTCAACAATTTAACATACAACATGCACCAATGTATCTAAAAAACTAGTTTTACTAGTTTTAGGCTGGCTAGAATGGTCAAATTTGTTTTGGTCAAATGCATGCTATTATCATGATAATTCATTTTTACTAAAAAATACAAAAATATTCTCTAAAATATAAAATTCCATTCATCTTTTTTTTTCAATTTTTTAACATCATGCTAGAATAACATCTTTCAGAATAAAATGCATTAGGAGTAATTCATAATTGATCCCAAGTAGAAACAGTATCAAAGCCAATCTCTTTTCTCCATGTAAACAAGGCCTGGACTTGGCACCCAGCAGTTTACATGTAAATGAAATGGCTAAATATAGCTAGGGATCTTTATTAGATTATTGCTAAGATTAGCCTCATGGTTTATACATAAGGAAGAAAGCCCATCATCTAGTAAACAGAGAACATACATTAAAGCAAGAATTCTTGACTAAATAGATGCAGTGATGGATGCAGTAAATATACACTGCCCATGCCTCCTCTTTTGCAAAGCAACATAATTATGCCATAGATCTTTTCATAAATATTTTAATATGAGGCATTTTGGAAAGAAAAAGATTGACAATACATTTGTTACATATTACCTTTTTTAAAAAAAACCTGCCGTATTTGTCACTGTCAAAATGTGACTAATGATTCTGTATGGATGGGTTACTTAAAAGTGAACTGAGATGAACATAACCTTTAATGTGTCATCAAAAATCCATCACCACGGCATGTATTTTAAATGAATTTATGGGTTTGTTGTGGTGTTAAGTGTAACTGTCAGTCAAAGTACGTGTTAGATATACAACCTTCTTTATGTTGATAAAAGAAGGAAGTACTTATATTAAATAGGACATCAGGTTCAAGTTATGGTAGTTTTTTTGAGCAATGACCAATATGCTAGCTCCTGCTTTACCTTGCAAAAAAAATTGTTTCAACATTCAAACTGCCAACTCTATTTCAATTTTTTTCTATTTCACAAAAACCTGTTTATAAACATTTCCTGTTATATAAAATAACTGAAAGTATATTCAAAACAAGCCTGATGTAAACAAAAAAAAATGACCCAGATCCTGGATTAAATTTTGCATCACAGAGAACCAAATAGGTTTAAGTTACACTACTGATTATAAGAAGAACCCACCCCACCCCCATATATATTTACCCAATAGACAACAAAACATGTGGACAATAAAATATATATATATACACAAGAAAAAGTTCATTTTATAAAAAAGGTACTGGTGTCATAGTTCAATAGTACAACCATCCTTCCTTGCCTTGAAGCTAACATCATATAATATTTAGGACTGTGATTATCATGTTTAAAAACCACAAGCCCTATTTTTCAATATAACCTAAAGGAGCACTTACTAGTAAACAAAAAACTTGGCATTTTATCAAACACTCACAGACACCCTAAATACACACAAAAAAAACTGTAACAACATCAGCTATTCAAAACAATAATACTGGATGACAAAGGGTGTGAGTATTTCTGTAACAGTCTGGACACAGATGTGAACACAGACAATGTTGAATCATAAGCACAGTAATAGTTTTGAAAGCAGACCATACTTAATCACTATCAAGCAGTATCTTAAAATAAAGAATATTTTTAACCAACTGGTAACATTATAAGCATTATATGAAGAAGGATTTCAAATTCAGGTATACAGAACAAATAGTGTCAACTCAGCACTGCTCTCTACTCTGTTCAAGGAAAGTTACCACGAGCCATAAATCAAATTAACTTTACTCAATTTCCCTATCATACTTCACCTTTATTAGTCCTAATTAAATTATCCCCTCATCAATCATGTGTCTTAATACAATCATGTCTTCTCACATTTCTTGTCTAGTTTTCTTTATTACCCCGGGTAGCAGCTTTATACGATAACACAAAAGAGACATCTCTGAGAATCTTCTGATTAACTTTTTTTTCTGCTTCAAATCATATTGGGCATTTTGAAGTTAGCATTATAAGAAACTATGAAATAATTGTGATTCTTTTTTTTTTTTTACTGTTTAATGTCAAAATTTCTATGGGTAGTCTGTTCATTATATGCTTGGAGGATGTGTCTATATAATACTAACAAGTATACTTAGCATTACTATAATAAATGTTCTGCATGTGTACAAATTACTATCTTAAGACTATTCCAATATAGTTTTACATAACGACACTAGTTCTTATAAACTGCATGAGACACTAAACCTCTTGACCAGCTGTCAAGGCTACATGACAATACTGTTAATACATACCCACATAGTACAGACTAATTCATAATATTTAATCAAATGGCAAATTACTTCAGTGATTACAGCCAGGGGATGCACAATACTGAAACACTGAATTTATAACTTTCTAAGTAAGTCCGAAAGACAGACATTTTATTATGACTATCTATTATCTAACATCCGCCATCACAGGTCAAGACTTCTTTATCAGACTAAATAATTTTTGATCCAAATTTTCACATGGGGAAAAGCCATTTTATATGTACATGTGCAATTTAAAGGATTTACTACTCCTCAATTTTTTTTAATTTTTGAATGGTAGAGACCGTGTCTCACAAATAACAGAGAGACAGTGAAGGTATTTATTCTTAACAATACTTAAGTGATTGTGTACAACTAACCAAAGAAACAATGAAGATAATATAAGACAAAATAAGAAAATACATGAGTGCATTGAAAAACTTTCCCCCAATATTCTAACCGATTAATAAACAAACAAATTGCTACTGCATCAGCATAGTTTATCATCGATGCGGTCATAGTCCAACAAGAGAATAACTCAGTTAACCACATTGAGCGATCACGAGCAACATTATCGTTGGCAGGGTAAGCGTGCTCCACCACATTCATCGGAATGGATACAGCATTAGAGGCTAGCATCGGAAGCAAAGTTAATTAACGATCAGATAACTTACCGGAATTGTAATACTGGCAGTAGATTTCTCAGTTTTTTCTGCATGATCTGAGCTCATATCTATCGAGCGAGAATCTGTTACCGACTGTGCACGAAAGCCCTTTCTAGATTCGCCATAGCGCTTAATATTTTTTCCACAGAACTTCTCATGCCCCCTTTTCCTCACCCGGAAACAGCCTCCTACTAATATCGCCAGTGGGTAGTTTGTACTTTTACGACAATCACAACAACGCGCGACGTCTGGCGAATAAGGTAGGTACTACTGTTAAATGCATTCACGTTCAAGTTTGTTATACAGGAAAGAGGCACGGGCACAGAACTTCAGAAAGGGAAATGTTGAAATTATAGGATCATCACTTTCACAATTACTTGATATTCTTTTTAATTTCTTTAATTATTTTTTCATTTAGTACAGAGTTTGAAAAGTGATACAATGCCAATAAAAATGTTAAGAAATTCGATGTTAGAACTGCAAAAATATGGTTCTACTGATGAAAAGCTCTGATTCCGGTAAAAAATTAATTTTAGTTATTAGTGCGAGACAGATAAGACTTTCTTAAATATTGTCTTCAGTGAACATCCAACAGAAGCGAGCATAAAAGTTTTCTGGATGTGTTAGGTGTGCTAGTTAGGAGCACTTGGGCGCAATTGAAATTTGTGCATCTGTGACATTTCAAGCAAGAGTATCATACATGTTTTTTTTTTTTTTTTTGCACCAAATCCAATGTTCCTCGAGAAAAAAAGAAATCAAACAATTTATCCACAAATCGTTCCTCAACCCGTATCTGCACTTGGATTCATATCTAATTACTCAATTTAAACGAATGTAATCTAAACGGATTAGCCGCCTCGTCTGCCTGATATTTCAGAAGGAAATACATGTAACCCCACATATTTTATTTGAGGGCATTTAACTACTTAAAAGTTGTTAACTTGGGAAGTATAAGTTGAATTACAGGATATATAGGGCCTATATACATAAAAAATATGACTTCGTGACATTTACAGACTTGTACAGTAGGCCTATATACATGTATGTCATTTAGTTCCCAGCCACATGTAATTCTTCATTCATTTAGACGTACAGAAACGAATGCCCTTCGCTTCTTGGTGTTATTTTACCATCTATGTTTTATTTTGGAGTTTGTTGTAATACTTGGAAATTTCGTGGCTATATTTTGTCACCGGAAATGGTTACATTTTGTGTCAAAGAAGCACGGGAGGGCCACAATGACCATCCATCATGTTTCCAGCGCAAGGAGATGGCAGACTGGGGGTGGGGGTGGGGGGGGGGGTTAGGGGGGGGGAGGTTTCAATATTTCTAGTTATAATGATTAAAGGACAGTGTACGAAAGTGCTCAGTAAAGTTGCGGTGAGACCTCCCACTGAAATATTGAAAATAATCTAAAATATAATTGATTGCGTATTAAATGTTACAAATTGAGAACATATGTATTGTAATACATGAACCCAATAAATGAATACATGAACCAGGTGAAATGCTATAGTTGTGGCACTATAGCATCCTGCTGGTCTATTCGATTGTTCATAATGAAATTGCATTTCACCCTCCACTGTTTTGAAGGTCTTTACAAACAGAAGCCATTTTCCTAGATGTTCTTCTTAATAGGTTTACTTACCTGTCCCAATATTTCTGTGATTCCTTTTCAACTTCTTCTTGAAAAGCAACAACAATATATTTAGGCTACAACCTGTGGTGTTGCCCAGCATTGTAAACTAAAACATAATTCATCAACTACTTAGTATTTTTCTTTATCTGATCTTGTCCGCTTGTTGTACATGCATTCCCTGCACCTTATACTATATAAAAAAACAACCCCAAGGACATGTTACGACCTCAGAACGCGTGCAGGTATGCGTTCGTGACAGACTCTAAGACCCCATTCCCATACCTAGATCGATCTAATGGGGTCGGTCCATCTTCGTGGCTTAAAAGTCTGGCACGCCAACTGAAGCAGCTAAACGATAGTTAATTACCCCCAACAGCTTCAGTAAGCGTGCCAGTCATCTAAGCCGCTTAAGCTGAAAGCAACTTAGGGAGAAACCCCTGGGAGATGAATCGATTCTGCTAGATCATTCTAGGTATGGGAATGGGGTCTAAGTCACTATGTGCAGTTTGAAATGCCCAACCCCAGCTGACTTGTACATTGCTTGACAGCATGCATGTAGAGATATATACGTTCGTGACAGCCTCAAGATGGCTAAGACGGGGTTGCACGTGATTTCACGAGCAGCAACCAGACCCGAATGGCAGGTAAAATGAGCGAGTGTCGAGAAAAATATGCAAGCCATTATGTTTTGGCACAACCAATGGCAATTCATTCAACAATGAAAGAAAGGAACCTTTATAATTTTTTTTTTGTTTATACCTCAACATATCTGTGCAAATAAATTTCATGACATATAAAAGGGTGACATAACCAATCATAAACTCTCGATTTTTTTCTATACCCAACTCCATTTTAAATGTATTTTTGCACAATGGGGGTAGTGTGTATAAATGTACATTGACTAGTATTAGCTAAAAGACAGCCTCAGACCTTTACATATAGAATGAACTAATTAATATTAATAAGAAAGATAATCCAAAACTGTTGAGAAAATTGCGGTCTTTAGAAGATAAGGATTCTTTCCTGAAGCTGTACAAAAATAATGTAAGAAAAAAAAGACAAATGTCTGTAAAATTAGATCTTTTTTATTGTTATTATGCAAGCAATTTCACACTTATATCTTTACCTATGTAAACAAGCAAACAAACAAGGACAGTGTAGCATTCCAACTTGACGATGTCTGCGTGTATATACTGTATACAATATGTTAGTGAACACGAATACAAGGCGTTGACAAAGAGCAACTTAAATTGACCATTTAAGTAGTTCGTTCCCCTAATAAAAAGGCGGGTAACTGGTAACTGTTTGACAGATAAAATGGGCCTAATTATATTTCTTATACTCTGTGCGGTAAGCCAATGGTAGACATAGAGAGATGTGTATATATCCATAATTAGTCTTCATGAAAAGTTAACTCCACTCAAGCCTCAGAGAAGATAGAGAGATGTTTAAAATTAGGTCTATATAAGCAGCATTGAAATAAATTGACTAAGCACCACGTTACTTAACACTATAATCAAAATCAAATGCAATTGTTTCCCGGAAACGCCCGAGCGCGTTGCTGTATCCCAAAAAGCGGCTATCCTCGTCGGACCGCCAGAACCCCCCTTAATCTTGACAGGCAATGCCGTGATGCGCGCCCCTACCGCCGGGACTCGGTCTAGATAGGCCACCTGTTCAAATATATAAATTTGATGACCCAGAAGTCTACGATGAGTGAGGTATTCGACGCTAGGTTCCTTTTCTATAGAATTGGTGTCCACGCCAAAAGCGTATGTTTTGGGTCTATTGTCTAGAATCCATTGAGCGGCGTCGGGACTGACGCTCGGGAATTTTAGTTGGTCTGTTGTGTTTCCTGAAAGAAATACCGACTATGATTTTTCTCCAGTTAATTCTCCAAAAAGCAATACATATGAAAATTTGAAAATCAATCAACTGATTGATTTTAAAAAGTAGCAAGGATAGTGGGCTTTCCATATGTGTAGGAAAGTGCAAAAACCAAGGTTCACTCAGCAAGCAAACAATCTTAGAATAAAGTAAACTCATTAGTTTAATCATTTGAACCAATAAATTCAACTCGGGATTTACAATGTACACATACGTGTCGCTGTACTAAGACGTGTTATTCCCATACTGGTTAAGTTATCAATAATGATTTACCGATTTTAATATAATATAATTAAAATTATAAAGCCAAGACACCTGCCTCCTAAAAACGCCGTCACATTTCCCCAGTACTTCGTCCATCCCGAATTCATCATAATGGCGGCCCTATCCGGTATCTCCCCGTGCGCCGCCTCCCAGGCCAGGAGATCATTCACCTCAAGCTGTGCTGACGGGTTGACGGAGGCTTTCTGTTTGATATCAATCACTACCACTGGAAGAAGAAAAAGATCAACGTCTACATATACATACATACATACATACATACATACATGTATAGTTTCTAGCACTGCCTGCTCATTTGCTAATTGGGGGGGGGGGCAATTTTAATGCAATAAGCTCAGTGGTTATAGGGACTGTTTGTGTGGTTTTTGGAACTGAATTGACTACGCGGAAATTGCTTTTAAATTCATCTATGTCCCAAATTGTCTAGCCCTAACCAGTTATCTCCTATTTTTTCTGTATTTATAAGTACCATGAACTATTGGAGCACACTGAATATTTTTGTATTTCTCAAAGTAATAAGATCTGCTGAAGTCTACCTGGACATCTGAAGTAAGCAACTCTAACACAAGTGAACAGTAACTAACTACTGCACTACCTGTGCAGTTCTTTATTATAGTACCAGTTATGCAAATGACCCAATGCTACAAGTCCAATAAATATGATTGGCTAGTTCACTACTGCATAACCACTGCAATGCAACACTTTACCATAATTGTTTGAGATGTTATCACATAGTCATTATATAAGTTCTACACTATGTTTGGAAAAATGCATTTTTCAATTTGACAGTAATAGCATAACCTGAAAATCATATAAAACACTTCTGAAACATTGGCACATGCCAAATAAAACAACGACATTGAAAATCGAAGACAACAAAAGCACCATGGACGGCCAATTTTCTTTTTTATTATCATAATATGTAAAACGTGACTATAGAGACAACAAATGTCCCAATTGTACTCAGTATACACAATTATAAATATTGTCATTATACTTTGAATGACTACGATTTCAGCCGAGATATAATTGGTTTGAAAACCAAACTGGAAAGATCCTAAATGTTACAACAACTTTCAGGCCTGAAGCATTTTGCTTGACTCATGAACTTAAGATGCGGGTGGTAGAACCAAACTGGAATTGTCAGCCTCAGTCAATTGTTCTTTCCTCTTTCATTGAATTTTTTATCTGTTTTCATTATTATTATTATTATTATTATTATTATTATTCATTGGATATATTATCCTTTTGGAGGAGCACTTGCTTAATTTCGAGCAGTTATCACGTCTACTTTTGTATTGACATAGAAAGCATTACGTTATACTCACATGGTAAGTTTATCAGACGTTCCAGAGGTATTTGGTCG